AATTTGATGTTATAATGATTTGGTCAATAAAATGTAATCTATACTAATATTATAAAGAGGTAATGTTTGTATGTAAGTTTGTATGCAGCAGGTAATCTCCGAAACTACTCATCCGATTTCGAAAATTCTTTCACCAATATTTAGAATGGAACTTCAGGGTGGACATAGGCTGTATAATATTCCGTTAAACATTTATATAAATTAAATGATATCATCTATGTATAAGGCTTTTATGTCCAACAGATGGCGATACGAGTACGACGCCCTAAGTTTGCTTTTCTGTGAAAATGAACTAAAGCAGATCATCATCTATCTATCTATATAAATAAAAATGTAATATTCGTTTGTTCCTACCGATTCATTTGAAATTTTGACACAACACTGCATTCGAATACACACGTGTTTTTATATAATATACGTGTCGGAATTCAACCCCCCGAAGGGAGATGGTTAGGATTAAGGCTTACAATAAAGAACTCTTCTATTTACACTATTTTAGATGCAGGTTTTTGCGTTTTTGATTGCGTTTTAATAGGGTACGTCAAGAGAATGTACACTAAGAAGAAATTTTTCGAAAAATTCCCCCCCACGGGGAAGTGTTATAAATTTATAATAGATACATTTTGAGCCACAACAACGCGTGGCAGGGTCTGCTAGTGTAATATACAAGTACAATGGAACCTCGCTTACTGAGCATTTCGCATAACGAGCGATAAAAATTGTAAAAATTACCTCGCTTAATTAACGAGCGAAGTTTCGCATAACGAGTGACGAGAAGAGGGGAAGACCCGAATTGTGCGCATGCTCCATCAGTGTGTGTTGCTTGTGATCACATTTTTTTCCAAACTTGTGTTCACACATATTACTTATAAACACCAATAACCATTGCCCGTTATATAATAGTCTAAGAATTTAGCATATCGTTTGTTTATGTAAAGGCTATCAATAAATATAAATTAATTAGTAGCGAAGAAAGGTCCCTGTAGGCTTCGGAATATCCATATAAATTAATGAATTTGACTAGAGGTAGACAGTTATGCTCCCATCTCGTATTAAATGTAATGACCAATTCCAAATTAAATTTTAGAAATGTCTCAATTAAAATTAAATTTAATACGAGTTGGAAGCATAACTGCCTATCTCTAGTGAAATTAATTAGTTTCTATTATTTAATAATAGCCTTTACATAGCCTAAGAATTTGGCATATTGTTTGGAGTGTTTATCAAACATATCCGTGATTTTTTTGTTTTCTGCAAATCGAATTCTCATTCCAGGTTGGTTCATTCCACACTGGAAGAAAAGATGATGTGAGATTCACTCTTCTTAACAATGCACATTGTTTCTTTGAATAAACTTTATACATAAAATACTTCAGTATTTTTTTCAGCGTGGAACGCATTATCATATTTTACATTAATTTCTAAGGGAAAAATTGTTTCGTATTACGAGTACGATTCTGGAACGAATTATGCTCGTTAAGCGAGGTTTCACTGTATATAATTACTATCATAGTAAATCTTAGTAAAATTATTTTTGTCATCTATTAAAAGATTTTCTTAAAACGGTGGCAAATTGTTAATCAATTGCAACTGCTCTAAATCAGCATTTGTTAAACTTAGACATTTTTTGACCTGTATTTATCATTATCAAAAACAAATTTTATGAGAAATGACATAATATAGGGAATTTAAATTATTGACATATAAATAAGATAATTTTAATAGTTTTTATAATAAATCACTTGAATAAATATATTTATTTAATAATTATTATTAAATAAACTAGATTTAGATGCAATATGTAATGTGTACAATATATATTCTATTTTTAGGTTGAATGTACTTATTGAACCTAATAATTTAAATTATATAATAAATTATCTTTCATTTTGTTTAAAGCTGTATTTAATATTGATTAAAGCAAGTATAAATCTATAATTATAATTAAAAATGTTTAAAATCTTTAAAATTTGTATTGTTATGATAAATCACCAAACTAAATTCTTTTGAAAACTTCTAGAGCTCCTTTCAATTATCAAGCATACAACCTGTCAAAATTCCAGAAACAAACTATATGAGGTGAAATCAAAAAATTCCATGACTGGTGATGTGGCACCACAATTGGACACATACTAAACTTGCACATGACCAACTATGCAACAGACAACTATTTATTCTNAACCAGTTTCCCATAGAAAGTTTTTCCGAAAGACATCGCCCCTCGGCAGATCGCGTTGCTGTAAACAAATGAAAAACTATTGATGTGTATGATTAAATAGATTCCGTTAGTGCCGTTGGACAGGAGTAAAATAAAACGAGTGAATTTAGATTAAATTCAACGGCAGATAATTATTTTATTTGTTTATTGTTATAAATTATGAATAATAAAATAACGAAATTTATTATCTTTTAATAGTTAATAATACCCGTATTTTAAAATTTAGGAAAATTTGTTTTGAGTATCTGGCAACACTGCACATTACAGTTCCCGCCACGGCGGGTAAATCGTTCGGCGGTTTTACGGTAGAGACGGAAATTTCGAACTTAAAAAGGTACGTGACCAAGTATTTAGCAATTTATCTATCTCATCTCAATTTTACAATGATTATCAATTGACATTTAAGACAAATGCCTCAAACAGTTCTATTTAAATTGTAAAAATGGTTTAAGTCATTGATGTGTTAATCTATTAGGTGAACCAATTATTCCTTTATAATACGGTACAATTACAGCTCTGAATGAGATGTTGGGACCTTCTCATATAGGTCATACTTAGGTCACGTATAGGTATAATTCAGAGGAATTATAACTACTCGTGACCAGAGCCAGCTTAATTTAACAAATTTAGTACAAAAAATCAGGAAATAATTTTTAAGATGTAACTCCTCGAGGTTTCACTGTTGCAAATTTTAATCGGAAATCTTCAATGTTTAAATTATTAGCAACGGCACTTTAAATCGAAATCATCTCCAAATTAAGTCTTTCTTGACTCACCGACGATCTTAACCCGTCGGCACGCGCGTGCTCCGTCAAATAGAAATTACGCGCGCTCGGTCAATTAGGCACCAAATAAAAAAATTAATTAATAAAAATTTAGTGTCGAAAAACGGGTATTTTTACTTTGATCCAGTTTTACGATATGTTTGTAGTCGAATTTGGTCAAAAAACTTTAATTTTGTTGATGATTTTAATTTTTTAATATTAGAAGGTAATTAGCATAAATTACAAAGTGTCGTGTTTCATCTTCGCTCCCGTTCAAGTTTATACTCCCAGATAGGCGCCGATGTCTGTTTTTACTTCTGGTGTTTCCGCTTATATTTCACCCTCGTCTGTTTTGGTTACAGACGATGGGGAGACGAGCGTCACGTGATCGCTTACCTTACTTTTTACCACAAAAATTACCGTGCCTTGAAAGTTTTATTTTTTTTCTCGATTTTAGTTATTATTAGCTAACGTGTTTTGATAGATTCTCATATATATGTGTTTTCTGAAGTTGCAGATATTTTTTTTTATTAAGTTTCACGAATTTATGTTTTTTTATTTGCATTTTATATATAAAATATAAGAAAAACAAAAATTAATTAAATGTTATCAGAAATGCTAAACTATAAGTACAATGTGTTTTAGAGTACTATTGCGAATAGATATAGTCAATTATTTTGTAAACATATTTGTTGTTTTAATTTGGTTAATGTCCGGATACGTGGACTGTCATGGTGGCAGTTCCTGTTTCAGCTTCCCCGCGTTTCTTTATGCAGCGAGAGTGTAGCGAAATGACATCACGAGCAGTGTTGGCCAATTAGAAACCAGTTTCAGTGTGTTCGCTGTAAAGCACTTCTCGAGCGCTGCATAAAGAAACGCGGGGCTTCGAAACCGGACCGGTTTGAAGACGACATGTCACGTGACAACGCGAGCGAACGGCGGCGGCTGCTGCGCCGCGATAAACGGGGAAAACCGACGCACGGGTTAACATCCATATACGTAGACTGTAGGGTTTCTCATTTCCCGGTTTTTTGCTTGTCCCGGGATCCCGGGATAAAAGTAAACTGTTTCCTGGGATCCCGGGAAATCCCAGGATAGAATTAATTATTTTTAAGGTATACAAAATATCTTGAAATCAAATGATATAATTATTTTCCAGTTTTTAAATTAATTTTAAAGTTCTGTAACCTCCAAAATCATATTAATAATGCTGTGTAAGGTCTATAGGCCTATAATAAAAATTACCTTTAAATNTAAAGTAGGTTTGCAGTAATTTTGGCATAGTTTAAAACTTTAAATCACTCGCAAATCACACAACAAGTCGCACAGTCTGGCACTTTGGAAAATGGTGCCACAAACAAACAGCCAGTGTTGCCACCTTTTCAAAATTGCTGACCCAGACATTTTAAAATTGGGATGTTAAACTTAGAAATAAAACAATTAGGTTTTTTATTGTGAGTAAAAAACAAATATTTTTTTATTAAAAGGTAAACATGTACAGTACATGATATATTATTAAGCGGCCGGATGGCCGAGCGGTCAAGGTGGCACCCTACCGCTCTGGGGGACCCGGGTTCGAATCCGAACGGGTCGAAAAATCCCAAGGAATCTTTCGGGGGTGGTTCGTTCGGATATGTCGGGCCCCGTCCCTCACCACCCGGCAGCCCCATTGTGGGTCTGGCCGAACCCATAATGGGATTGCAAAAAGAGGCCGTCTTAGTGCCCACAGGCCGGAAAGAGTTTTAAAAAAAAAAAGATATATTATTAAAGTAATATAATAATCACATGTGGCATATTCAAAAAATAACTAATAATAGTCTGATGTCAATATTAATTGCAGAAATAATACATAAAAGTAAGAATATTTTGTTTTATCATAATTTCACAATTTCTACGAAAACCAAACAAATTAATAATTAATCTGGACCATAAATTTAAAAACCGGCTTGTTCGTGTAAAACCGGCCGGGTGGCAACACTACGAACAGCACAGCACAACGACAATGTTGAACNCACATGCTCGACTCAACGTGAGTAGCAACTCGCATGGTGAGATGGGAAAGCACGTGAGTTAGAACTCGAGACTACCAATTTGACGTCAGTGTGTGAGATGGTACCACGTGACACCTTCAACACGTTGGGAGTTGTAACACGAAAAACTCGAGACTAAGGCCCCAGAATACATTGTGCAATACCTAAGTGTGGAAAGGGGAAACTGTGAAGACACTTTTACACTTATTCAGATGCACTAAATTAGTGCTTCTGAACTTATGAATTTTGATATAAGAAGCTTTTAATGCCATCGAATTGAATAAAATAAAAACTTTGTCCAATGTTAAACGCGAAATTTAAAATTCCTGTTGTAGAGCACTTTTATGAAATAAAAGAACAAAGTTCGGTTCGAAGATTAAATGAATAATGGAACGAAACTTACGAAGATTTCTCATTTTGGTTCCCCATAAATGCATCTCCTTTTCTTTATCGGATCCTTCCAACTTAATCGTTCCTCTCATTTGTCCATGTTGGGTGTAGACGTCCATTAAATTTCGTGTTCTAAACGTAACAGAATGAGATATAAGAATGGTAAAAGGGTGCGCAAAGTGACGCAAGATATTATTACTGATAGAGTAATTAGAACATTCCGATTACTACAAAAAAGTTCATAAATGATCTAAATTAATGCAATTGATGGGGACGTGTACACTCACTTATTATCTGCTATATTAATATGCCAGAATCTGTGCGATAATCTTTCGAATGCCCGAAAAAACATAAATATAAAATAATGCTAATAATAAATCAATTACTTGTGATAACTGTATCAACGTGAGTAAATTACATATGTACTGGAAGGTGGGGCAAGACGAGAACGTTAAGGTTTGAAAGTCATAAGATGACAACCACTTTGATGAGAACGATGATTTTTTTATTCTCAGCAACTACATTTGATAATATATAATACAAAATGTCATTTTTGGAAAACGTTTTTATAAACAATAAAATTTAATATTTTAAAATTACGTGTAAGTGCACCATCTTGCCCCACCGGTGGGGTATGATGGGGATATTATCACGGGTCAACTATATTTCAAAACGAAACAATTACAGTCTTAAAGGTTACTTTGAATATCTTATCTTCATGTAAAAGGTAATGTAAAGTTCACAATTATACTTACTCTGTAAAAACTGTAGCGGCGTAAAATTAGATAAAGTATTGCTAAAATAGGGAAAATGTTCTTACTTCCAAACAAAGAGAGCGATTCGGACGTTTTCTCGTCCCGTGATCTCTTTTGAGGTTGACATTTAGTTCCCCAAATAACAGATAGATGAAAGCGCGTTAACTACGAATGAACAGACGTCCCCGTCTTACCCCGTGGCCCCATCTTGCACCATCTTCCCCTACAATTAACAAAATTATTTGTTCAAATGGGTTGTTTTTTGATTTTATGCGGTTCGAAATATGGGGTAGCCCGAAAGTCAGTCAACCGAGAATATGCTTAACTTAGAACGTGCTTTTGATTTTTAAAATTGATAAGATTGTAAGGATGGTAAAGATTGACGGAATAGAGCAACACAACACGAGCGATTTCTCGGAAGGGGTGACTCCCGGAAGAACTTTCTATGGGAAACAGGTTTCATTTAGGTGTTACACACGTGAAAAAAACCAGAAAACTCACCGTGGACAGCCAGATGGTCAGGAATGAACTGAAAACCAGCGCTCGGTAGTTTTATCCACTATGTTTGTGTCATGTGTTTGTATCCACTGGTGGTATATCATAGGCATGATACACACAAACATGATTATTGATACATCAAAATGTAACTACCCACTCGTAAGGCAATGCGTAAATAAAAAATCCAGCAACGAGTTGCTTAACTTTCTTGGCAGCACTTAAAACTGCGTTTGTGGTAAACGCAGTTTTAAGTGCTTTTAGTTGCCATCCGTTATAATATTTTATTAAAAACTTTTTATATTTTCAATCATTATAAAATGCCAAAAACTTAATTTTGAGTGTAGGGATGGATTTTATAAAAAATTTTAAATTGTAATAATGAGTAAAATCGTCACTAAGTTCGACCCTACTGGAGATATGGTACACTACTCCCGTCTATCTCCCCACTCTACCATTAACCCTGAAAATTTACTTGCATCAATTCCCCAATGCGCAAATCCCCCGAAAATTTCAGAAACATTCTACAAAAAGTACAAGAGTTATTAAGCTGCAAAGAGGATAAACAAAATCGTACATTGCTTTAAAATATTCGATTATTCCAATAAATATAGACCCATTTCCACGTGTTTGACAGCAAATAGAGGTTGGTTTCCTCCCTTCCTTTTGGCAGATCGCCCATTTATAACGTTATCTTATCCCATTAAAAAATTTTCAGTTTTCGTTTAGTTTCCTGTTTCGTCTGTGGACAATTTCGTTTTCGGTTCAAATCGCAAAAACTGAAAAGATCCACAAATCAATGTAATTTCGGAAGCCTTCTCGATTCTGTCCTCAGGCGACGATCGGAACAGGAAGCAATTTCTATTATATTTCCTCCACCGAAATGTAAATATAATCCATATTTACCTGGAAACGTTGCCGAACAGTGAAAAGAAGGAAGCGTGATCTAAGGCATTGGCCATGGCATCCTTATCCACATCGCTAGAGAAATCGTACACTCCTGATAAAGCTCCCCATCTATTGGAAAAATTTCTTTTATTTTTAAAATATATATTTATTATTAAAGAACTTATCTTTACTATACTTTTTAAAAAACAATTATCTTCTTTAAGTCCGGTTGTCCAGATTATATAACCGACTTAATGGTTATATAATCTGGACATGTCAAAAATACATTTTTTTTGCAGTTGAGCCACCTATTTGTCAAAACTTTGTATTCAGGAACATTGAAAGCCAATAAATGGTGGTATCTTTTTAAATCTTCAAATTTATTTTCAAAGAATACAGTAGTTTATAAAACTAGCCAAAAGGGATGAAGAGAACAACAGCAGTGGTTGAAAACTTAATATTTTGATGTTTTCATCAGGTTGTCGTTCTTTTATTAAAGAAAACCATATAAAAATTTTTCAAATAGTTAATTATTTTCATTTCAGATCTCATTTTAGTGAAATTTTCTACATACAAAATATACTCGAGTAAGCCAAAATATGGCAATATCTTGCAAAAACAACACTTGCCAGATCAAAGTCTAGCGATGGAAACTGATAACACTAAAATACGGTAGAGAGTCGTTTATCCGAATCAATTGGGGACTGGAGTTGTTCGGATAACTTATTTTTCGGATAACCGATTACGAACGAAAAAATATATTAACCTATCCCGTGTTGAAAATTTTCTCCGTTGCGTGTCGCTTTGCGTTGAATTTTCGTCGATGTTAAGCCTAACATAAACTTTTTAAAATAATAATCGTGGCTATTGTATCGTTAAAAATTATTTCTTTATTTTGTACAAACAAAATAAATATATTTAAAAATATAAAAACAATAAACAAATTATACTTCAGAAGTTAATTTAGTATCAAAAACGTAAAATATTTGAGTAGCCCAAGACATAGCCAAAGATTGCAGCGCCACAGCACCAGCGAAAATTTAAATTTGCCAACTGGAATTCTTTCGGATAAACGACGCTCTACTGTATTTACAAAATTTTTCCTGTTGAAAACTCATATTTTTGACACGGTACTTTCGGGAAAACCTTTCTAATCATTTATAATTGTCTTAAGTTACGAGCAAGAACGCAATATAACATTTTATGAGTCATGATGGAAGAAAGGAAATAACTTAAATGCACGTAGTAATGAAGTGTAAGAGAAAAAATCTTACTGATGCTCGCAATGAACAAGATTATCGTGTATATATACTTTTTTAAAGTATTGAAGTATGTCGGTTAAGTTTCTTCACGCTTATATTTATTGCCCGTCGAACTAGCAGGATCCATAGAAAATAAGGCACAAACAAAAAAAAATATGGACAGATGGTTTGATACGAGATTGGAGGATCCCATACTTCTTATTTTATGTTATTTCAATGTTTTATCAAAGAGGTTACTCCTTGTTTTTTGTTTGTTTCAGATTTAAAGTAGAAACTCGAAACTTGAAAACAGACTAGAAACTTGAAGTCATGTCCCCTTACTAAGGGAACCTGACTTCAAGTTTCTCATTTCCTGTGAGAAATTTAATGACAATACGGTCATAAAAGTATTATTAAATCTCTCACATCGAGTGAGAAACTTAGATTACTGCGGAACATCCGAAGTCGTACAAATGATAAAGAATTAAAAAAGAAATGTATTAGAGCACAGATGGACATTTTTCTTGATATATGTAGAAATTCTTGCAAAGTTTACATCATTTGTTTACTTTTCGCAGTTTTTAACGCTAAAATACGTTCTATAAATTAAGCCAAATTTTTATTATTTAAAACTAAGATTTCAAGTGTTTTAAGAGTTAAGGAATGTATACTTACACAAAACTAAATTTCACGTGAATCGCTTTGTCGCCGTTTTCCCTAAATAAAACAATACAATTATTATAATATAGTATCGAAGTAATGTTAATAGTTAAGTTAAATGACCCCAACACAAGTTTTCAGGACTTTCTTCCTGCTTCTTATGGGCACGACAAAAGATCGTTTAATAGTTTCAATCATGTATTGTGCGTTTAGCAATTTAGCTGTGAAATGATAAACTCACGATTTTGTTTTGATAACAACATTATTACCACTAAACTATGTAACTTTTCAAGCTGTCAAACTGTAACTTCTGTATACACTACATTATTACTATATATAATTCCTATTAACACGTTTGACATTCATCAGTTTGATTGAATGTAATGCTATTACATTCAATCTTAGTACCGGCTTCGGAAGTAAACGATCGAGTGCGCTAAACCCAAGTTATTTTGTCAAGAACAGAATTTTTCTTTATCTAGCGAATTCCATAAAGTGTAAAAAATAGAATATTTCTTAAAAACTTGTTACCTGAGAAGACCGTTGAAGAATATTCTCCATCTTCTCAGAGGGGATAGACATTGCAGTCGCAAACCGGCCGCTTGGAAGTAACGGTCGTCGGTCGTTCTACCCGTTTCCTGCAGAACGTAAACTTTGCCGTTGGAAAGTCTCAGATAGAGCCAGGCTTCGGCCATCCTATCGTCGATCCTGGCCAACCTCACCAGCAAACATTCCTTCTTCGAATTTATCCCGTATATCAGCACTTCGTCCTCTTCCTATGAAATATTCTTATATTATATAAGCCTCAAAAGCCAATAATATCGCTATAAAATCTATTGTACTGTAACTGTTAATTATTCGCATTAACTTAATACTGTACTTCATCAGGCACTGAATACATAAAACTGTATATAGATTCTCATGCCTGCGGATAGCATAAAGTACAGTATTTATATCTACTCTAATCAATCGTACCCACTAGTATTAATACTATAGGCATTGAGCTTAAACGGCTGTATGTCATTCTACTCGTTCCTAGAAAGAACTTGTTTTTACCGTCACAAAATGTAGATGGGCCAAGCTTTTTGATTTTGTTCATTTTTTAATTAAATATCGACGAAAGTCGATATTTAAAGAAAAAATCAAAAAGCTTGGCCCATCTACATTTTGCCCATCTACATTATCCTCTCATTTGTTTTTAGGTATACTTGGCTCGAGACGCTAATGTGAGGGTCAAAAGGGTGAAGAAGGTTTGTAAACAATATAATAGGTTCGAAAAGAAACTAAGAATTATAAAGAAAATAATATTTCGAACTTCACCAAGATTTTATCTACACAAAACGGAGGAAACAGCAGAATTTGGAAGAAAGTTGATTTCCTTTGCCAAGCGAACTGCTGATGAGTTGATAATTTTTCACAGGGTACAGAGGATAGAATAAAAAGGGCCGTTTTCGCGCCATTCGAGGCAGCAGTCCGTTAGAGGAAGGTCTTTCCATGTGTACAATACAATACCTCCGAAGCAGTCCATAAAAAAGAGACAATTGCCATACTAAGGAGAATACGTAAGAAGACATACATACGAATTCAATATATGACATACGAAAAGGTTAAGCTGACGTATAGCATACGATAAGATGGTTGAAAGGAAAGATATTTGAAGAACTTCCCAAAGAAAACATATGAAAAAATAATAGTAAAGGGAAGAAGTAGATCTTCATACAGAGGTAATACAAGTTCTGAATAGATCGATGTAAACTCTCTCACGCGTTAGGTTAGAAATAAGATAGTTTAAGTTAGATTTAGAATATAGATTAGATTCATCGTTGTATATCTTTATTATTTGATTTATTAAATATTTACTTTGGTTATAAATGACTCGGTTCTTGTTAGATATTCATCTACATTTAAGTTCCCGTGCTTCTTCCGATTCCCGAGTTTAGGGATAACGCGTGTTAATCCGCGTGTAAAATAACTGATTAACTAGTGTCAGGTCCCTGACGTAAATCTAGACTTCACAGTCCAGATCGTGTTAAATATTAATAGCCCTCCTAGAAAAAGATTTAAGATCCGAGAACTAGTTTTACCAACTAGCGCCGATTAAGTGGTACTAACAATTAGTGATGGGAAAAATTTTGTAAATATCGATGTGTCGATATATCGATAATCCACAAAGCCGATAATGATATTATCTAATATCATCAAAAAAATATCGATATATTGGAAAATATCGGACTAAGCTGGGAATTTTGACTACTAGGGTTAAAATTTTGCCTTGCAGGTTAAAAAATCATAAGAGGGAAGGGTATCTTAAAAAGGTACTTAAGTTAAATCCTCGTGCGAAGAAACATACATAACATTTCTTTCACTTTTACTTTTAACAGCGTGAGAATCCAACCCAGCAATACTGTAATGCACTGGACCCAAAATTTGCAAAAAAAAGATAATAATGAACTCAGAAATTACCAAATACCACTACACACACAATTGCATTACGTAACTTGTTTGTTTGTTTATTATTTTTACGATTTTACTCGATACATTTTAAACTCTGTATTACTTAGTCTACTAACTTAATATGTTGTAATAAACCATTTCTCGGAGAGGGATGATAAAAACGTTAGCTTTGCAAGGATTGAGCTTGCAAGCCTGTTTCGTCTCGTCGTCATAATGAGACCCACTTTAGAAAACAATCTTTCCGACGGAACAGAGCTTCCTGGGATACAGTAATACTGGTCTGCTAGTTTCTTCATATTTGGAAATATGGCAGACAAATGTTCCCATTCTTTTAAGGGGCAGCATTTATGGTCTAACAAATTTTGATTTAAGTACTGTTTTAAGTCTGTAACCAAGCTACCTGAGTCTCCCTGCGTTTCAGTGCCTGTCTGCTTTGCAGCTAGACAGGTGTGGAAGCTCCAGATATCGTCACTGTTAGCAGTCTGTACTAACCTATCTTGTAACTGATGCTTGTCCCCTTCATTATTTGTTCTCGAAATATCTTGTAGGGTCTCATTGATGTGAGATATTGCTTGTGAACAAGCTAATGGCGAATTAAAATGCAGCCTTTTAAATCGTGGATCAAGTATAGTAGAAATGGCTAGCAAGTAGTTGCTTTCGGCATCCTTAAAATAGTGTGCCAGGGAATTCAACATGGCAACCTGAAAATTTTTTCCTACTGTTTCCATAGGAGTTCTGGCAGCTGTGGCTTTGGTCATACAGCTTATCATTGGCAGTATAGAACTGACTGTAATATATTTTTCACCTGATATCTGTTTCGTCAGCTGATCAAATGGTTTCAAAATATCGATCACTTCTCTTAGTACTTGAAGATTGTATGCAGAAATCATACGAGGTGCACTGTGAAAACTTAGTAATACTGCACTTACATCATGACTTAGTTCTACAAATCTCGCCAACATCTCTAGAGTAGAGTTCCAGCGTGTTGGCACAGATTGTTTCAATTTTATTTTCTTCGATTTATTTTGAGCCTGAATGCTTTTTAATTTTTCTGATGCTACAACTGAATGTTTAAAATACTTTACAATATCTTTAACCTCTAAAATTATAGCATGTAAATCCTTTGTTTCTTCCACTGCCTTTACAGCAACCAAGTTTAAAGTGTGCGCAAAACAGCGTAAGTGTTTGTCTCGCCCAAATAAATCCTTCACAGCTTTAGAAACATTGGCACCGTTGTCGGTTACAACAGCCATAACCTGATGTTTCTCGATTCCCCACTCATCACACATTGATTGTAAAATCTCACTTATATAATCAGCAGTATGCCTGTCTTGCAATTCTTTAACTCCTAACGCCACCGACTCAAATTCACTACCATCTATGAAATGGCATGTAAGAGACATGTGACTTGTATTATTGTAAGTATCAGTCCATATATCAGTTGTTAATGAAAGATGTTGGACAGTAGAAATTTTCAAGCGAAGTAAAGCTGACACAGCCTTATACTTTTCCTCAATCATTTCACGAATTTTTTTCCGGTTTGGTACTTTGTAGAGTGGCGCTGCAATTTTGCAAAATTTTTTAAAAGCCTCAGATTCACAAAACGATAGGGGTAAGTTCTCCTTACAAATTAAGTTTACAAGAGCGTCGTTGAAAGCCCTGTCTTTTCTACCACCACCTGAAATTGTATATTAAAATTGTGTTTAATATCCATAACATATTGTACCTAATTTTAGCAGGCTACACTTACTTTGAAAATCAGTTGCATTCTTAAACATTGATGGAATAGATTCTGTTTCAGCCAGCATGAGACTGGGAGTAGGACTTTGACCAAAACTTAGGCGAGAATCGTTTCTGGAACTGGACGAACATAACGATTTACTTTTTGTACTGTAATGCAAATCTATTGAGTTCGTCTCTGTCTGCGAGGAAACATCGATTTCTTTTTCCACTTCTGATTCAGGTTCGTTCGATTTCTAAATCAAGTAACCAGAAATTATGATAAACCATATTTTGTTTAAGTTTAAACATAAACTTACTTCAGCTTCCATAATTACTTCCTTTACTTGAGGTTTTGAATGTGTCTGTAAACCTAACCCCAAAATTCCTTTGTGGTTAGATCTCAGATGGGACCACAAGTTAGTTGTATTTCCTGATGTTTTAACTTGTTTTTTACATAATTTACAGCAAGAAAACTGTTTAGAACTTTTGGTAAAGTAGGTTTGCAGTAATTTTGGCATAGTTTAAAACTTTAAATCACTCGCAAATCACACAACAAGTCGCACAGTCTGGCACTTTGGAAAATGGTGCCACAAACAAACAGCCAGTGTTGCCACCTTTTCAAAATTGCTGACCCAGACATTTTAAAATTGGGATGTTAAACTTAGAAATAAAACAATTAGGTTTTTTATTGTGAGTAAAAAACAAATATTTTTTTATTAAAAGGTAAACATGTACAGTACATGATATATTATTAAGCGGCCGGATGGCCGAGCGGTCAAGGTGGCACCCTACCGCTCTGGGGGACCCGGGTTCGAATCCGAACGGGTCGAAAAATCCCCAGGAATCTTTCGGGGGTGGTTCGTTCGGATATGTCGGGCCCCGTCCCTCACCACCCGGCAGCCCCATTGTGGGTCTGGCCGAACCCATAATGGGATTGCAAAAAGAGGCCCTCTTAGTGCCCACAGGGCGGAAAGAGTTTAAAAAAAAAAAAATATATTATTAAAGTAATATAATAATCACATGTGGCATATTCAAAAAATAACTAATAATAGTCTGATGTCAATATTAATTGCAGAAATAATACATAAAAGTAAGAATATTTTGTTTTATCATAATTTCACAATTTCTACGAAAACCAAACAAATTAATAATTAATCTGGACCATAAATTTAAAAACCGGCTTGTTCGTGTAAAACCGGCCGGGTGGCAACACTACGAACAGCACAGCACAACGACAATGTTGAACGCTGCTTTCCTTTGATCCTTCCCCAGCCAATCCACAATTTCCACTGATATATCGCACCAAAACACTACGATATATCGGTGATATATCGAAACCACGAATATCGCAATATATCGGAAATCACCAGACACGATATATCGATATATCGATATTCCAATCCCATCACTACAGTAACAATCCTAGTGGAGTAGTACCCCCGGCTATTCTCACACTACCGATTTTCCTGATTGCGTTAATGTTATTTTACAAGTTTATTGATGCGTCACATTAACTACAGTTAAATGCATTCAATTTTAGAAGCTGCGGGTATGTCCCATTTATTTTGTAGAGCATAATTCATGTTATAGCAACTCCTTCACTCCTATCGTGCCTACAAAACAAAAGAAATATACCATCACCAGTTCTCCATCTAAAATTTTATGCATCTAACTGTACAGATATTATGTCATGCATAAAGAATTAACCCGGAATAACGCAAATCTTAAGAGATAATGTCTTATTAATTCAAAGATACTTACTCTGTAGAGATCGCAGTTTCGAGGACATTCTAATTTCCATTCGACCGGGCTGGGGAAGACGCCGGCTTTGACCAAATCTTCGTCGTCGTCTAAGTCGTGAAAGTGAAGTCTGGGTTTAAAGACGAACTCGTACAGTTTCAAAAACAGAATCAAAAATATCTTCTTGATTGTCAGCGGCTCTGCCGGGATGGAATAATAATCGTCACACATTAGACCAATCCGTTATTAGTTATCGGTTATAGGAAACTATAACCCATAACGAGCCCGGCGTTGCTTGTGCAAAATGTAACAATAACGAAGATTAAGATTATAATATCGCCGAACTTACCATTTTCACTGGGTGCAAGAATTAAGCCCCCTCTTTCGAGGGGGCTTAATTCTTGATTTGCCTAAAACGTGTCCAATTTCCCGCGTAACGGAAAACCTAAAATATCTAAAATAGTACGGTAGAAGCCGAGTTCTGCAGGGTAATCCTTGACTCTCTCCTTCCCCTCCGAAGAAGATAGAATTTCCAAAATTCCTTCTTAGTGTAAATTCTCGTGACCTACCCGAACTATGTACCAAATTTTAATTTTCAACTTCTAACCGCGTTTAGGCTCTGCGCTTATTATTATTATTAAACCATCTCGTTATATTATAAAATGCTTTGCGAGTTACGATCTCGGTGAGATAGATTTGAGTGTCCTCTCTGCGCATTGTTGATCTCAACGTAAGCGCGTTGGCAAGGCGCTAACCCACGACCAACTACCAGTGTTCGGTAGTTCTGATCTACTCGGCCATTGGTGGGCGAAACTGTTGAGAAAAATTTATTTGACTATAATAAAAACATCATTAAAAAATGACAATATTTAAACATTAGTGACTCTCTTGAGGTTCAAATTTTCAAGCTAACAGTTCGATAGTTAAGATGTAAAAAATTTACACTTTGAATTTTTTAACTTTATGCAAATTTTGGAATTTACTTCGGGTAAACTATTTCTACATAAATTTATAATATACTTCATTGAGAATATTTGCTCGCAGTTGTACCGAAAACAGTTCAAAGAGAAAATGAGACTTTTTCATAGATGAAAATCTGCCAGAAAGTTAATTCCTGTTTTAGTTATTATATCAAAATTTTAATTCATATCTCTTAAATGATATTATTATTAAAATAACAAACGATTCTTTATTAAAGTACTGAAAAACTTTTATTAATTGTCATTCTTTAGGCCGTGCTATGAAAAAACTTTCTGTATGCCATAGGTTGTGGAATAAGACGTAGTGATTCGGAATCTACTTCAGTCGTTAATCTTTAAGCCGAAATTCTCAACTATTAATAAAGAAAAAAATACAAGTCTTCCTTTTGCATCCAATACATAAGTCATATACATTTTCCCTCAGAAAAATAATTTCCAAATCATTCTATAACTATTTTCTTGTTACTACGTTACAAAATGGTAAAACCGAATTCGCCCATTTACATCCGAGTTTTAATGAAAAATTGAAGTTAATTCTGTTTGCTTCTTCACACAGATGTAAGAAACGTAGGAAGAAAGCTCAGTATGAGATTTTTTAGCCGAAGACCTAGCGGTTGTAGTTTGAAACCACTGGAACGGAGTTCTGAATTCATCAAGTTTTCGAGGATAGAGAATTGAAGTTTGTATTAACAACGTGATAACTGAGCCAACATTAAAAACTGTTCATTTCTTCACCAAGTATACACTCGAAGTTCTATCCTAATGTATGAAGTGTAAAGAACAAGGACAAATTATGAAGATAAACGTCGTCGCTTTCGATAAAAAACGAAATGTAGAAAAAACATAGATTAATTCAATATCGATAACGAGTCCGCGAAAAGTATATTGCATCAAACCTTATTAATTTTATAAATTAATACTAATAAATGTATTTATCTAAATAGGAACATCCAGAATAACACGAGGATTTACGGAATCGTTTACTCGAGTAGAATGGGAAAGGAAAGATAAACTTCAGATCTAGTAACTCGCAACGCTAAGATCAATTTCGGGATCGAAATATAAGGGAGAAAAACAGAAAAGTGAAATCTCACCTGAGTCGGATACAGAGAGTAAACGTCCGAATAAAATATTCAGAAGAGACATGTCGCCGTATGTCTTTACTCGGCCAGAATCTCGTCGATTTTATCGCATTGTCGACCTTTTCTCGCGATAATTGCCGATAAACGCTTGATTTTTTGAAACGCCTCTTCGATTAACCGTTTTTCGCACCGAGAGGGACGAAATGCGCGCTTTTTACTTTCTACTGAATGCGTCAGTACACCGGCACAGTTCAATGATCTTTCTGTTTTTCTACACGAAATTACTAGTCGTACGCGACATGTGGTTAGTAAAAAGCATTAATATTATTCGCGTCGAAACCAATAGAAATTTGAACGCTCGTATTTTTTGAGCATTTTCAAATTACAAACTCAATTGGGTGCTAGAACATTTCAAGTTTCTTCATATTTATTATATAATGTCGACATTCAAATGTACAATAATCTATCTGTTCTTATCTCATCCGTTGGTAAATATTTTCATTGATATCTTTCTCGTGAATTATTTTATAGACTCGGCCGAAATGAGATAAAAACATTCTAGATTATTGGATGTGGATGTATAACTAGAATAATCAATCGTCATTTCATCATACAATTCATTAATCCATCAACAGCGTCTTAAAATAGGAAACTTCCGAAAGGAAATTTTTGCGCCCTGTTGCTCTATCGCTTCAAAAGTGATCGCAATGCAACAAAGGATTACACTCTTATCTACAAAGCGTTCGTGGATGAACAGATGTTTTTGTGACAATGCCGAAGGGCTCCGTCTATGCTTCGGCACCACAGGACCGACGGGGCGACATTGAGTTGGCGAAGACTGCAATGACAAATTTATCAGGACTGACTGAAATTTGTCAGGTCTCTGTGTCTTCTGGGTAGACACAGAGACCTGATAAATTTCAGAACCGCTCACAGACGCGACTGCGCGAGCAGTCGCGTCTGTGAGCGGTTGGACTCGGGACGGAGACAGCTTGAGGAAGGACACCCAACACAATTCTAACAATAACGAAATTCATTTTTTAAACTAGTTCTACAAAAGTGTGGTTATCTTAATTAAAGCTTCTTCGCGAAAACCGAGTTGGAGAGAGAGCTTACATAACATGGTGGGTCGTTATAAATACCCGAAGCACTACGTACGGATTTCCAGATGTCTGTGGAGTCGTTGATGCGCCTTGGGAATGTCTATGTTGCCTCGGATGGAGGTTAAGGTGTATCAAAAGTTGAGATCCGTTGGTTCTTCGTAGGTGTTCCCGGAGAAACACTGGATATTCGAGAGGAGCGCGCGGCGACCAGCGATGATGATAAATCCTTTCGGCTGACACACAGGGAATATTCTCGCGGACTCTCGACCCCTCTCACTGTTCCTTCAGGTCTCCTCTTTATTTCCAAGTCACGTTGTCGTTTTCCACCAATAGTGAAATTTTTGTTGTAGTTCCCAGTGACACATTCTGAGTTCCCTGAAAAATGAAACGACTCCGGGAAGAGAATTGCACTCATCTTCCGGTAATAAAATCGAAAAAGTTTTTTTTTTCTCTGAGATTTAAATAAATTTACTTTTCAAAACGAAAAATGAATTTTTTTTCGAAAAATTCCAGAATAAAATTGTAGGGTTCTTTTTCGAAATCTGACCTCCCACATTTTAAATGTAAAGGACCGATAGCGCGGAAGATGATTATCTGTGTTTGTTTGGCATCATCATGGAGCTGCTTTCAACCCAGTGGCATAGCTTGGGTACATAAATAACGGGGGCGGAGGAAAATTTCGCCCCCGTTATTTAGGTATCTCAATTTAAAAGACTAAAATTCAGTTTCGTCACAGAATATGTAATGAAAAATTCCGTGCTAGCGTCGCCACCTTATTAAAATCGCCGACCCGGATGGCGGGTGAGGTTTGTTCGAATAGAAATTCCTGACGCACGCGTATGTCATTTTGCAATGCGAAGAATAATGTGCGGCGCGTGCCGGTTCTAAATCAGTTACAGTTAGCGACTAGGGAGACTCGGATAGGAGTAGCGGCAGTGACCTAGCTCTATTGGATATTGGATGTGTATATATATACGAATAAATCGTATAAGCAAAAACAAAAAAGAAAAAGGGTCAACAGGTTGCGCACGATATCCCCGGACGGCGAGTCGATTCCCGGACTATCCGGATGGATGGTAACACTATTCCTTGCTCATTTCAATCGGTCCGAGTGGTAGGTGGACGAAAATATGAAAAAAAAAAAATGGTTGAAATTCTTACAAAATATTATTATTATTTATTGTAAAATTTTGCCGCCCCCTAAAAAGTGCCGCCCCGGCCGCCCCCACTACGCTACGCTACTGTTTCAACCAACCACTATCAGAAAAGAACTGTATTGTGACAATTGGATCGTTTCAATACCGAGATCAAAGAATCTCGTTCAAAAATCGAGAAAGCCCAATTCCGCCACGATAATGTGCCAGCGCATTAACAACAGAGTCGTCAGTCATCTAAGTAACTCCGTTGAAGGGAAAATTTTCAATCGAAGTAACGTTACTTTCGTTCCAAAACCGGAAGTTCCTATATAGTTAACCTGGCCCTGCTGCCCTATGCTTTCCACTTTTTGTCTCGACTTTAATCCACCTAAATCCTTTCTAGAGATCGAGGAAGGACATTCAGACAGGCTGTGGACAACAGTCGAAATTTATATGTTTATAATTTTTTCAAATTGCAGCTCAGTACTTTTTCTATAAACGCAATTCTTGGATGTAAGACGAATGAGGCTGAACTACCAGCCCGACAGGCTACTTTCTCCTAGATCATTCTTGTTTAATACGAAAAGTATGATGTACAGGGGCACGACCACTACTAAAAAAAATTTAAAACATCGTAACAAAAAGATTCAGCCCGGCATAATGAGAATGTTACAATAAATATTCATTCATTAGAATTAGTTTGATTTATTTGGTTATGGCAAAGTGACACGTTAGTGATCTACCAAAAGAAGGAGAGGCATCCCGGAAAAACTTTTATGTGATGCTGGCCAAGATTTAAGTGTTACTAACGCGAAGAAAGCCCAGAACACTTGACCATGCGCGAACCAAAGACCGACTACCGGTGTTCGGTGGTTTTATCCATTCGGTTATTGGAGGTCACTTATTAGGCTTCTATTGGAAAAAATGTAGACCTATAAATTTTCAGTGGCTCCAGTGTTTCCAGAACTAGATGGACACGCCACCTAGAAAGACCCTTGAATTACTTAAACCACCTTAAAACTAATAAGTTATAGCTTAAACCAAGGAAAAGAACAGGAAAACTGAAAACCAAAACACTGCAAAGCAGTATGACAGAAGAACCCGAAAAACTCCTAAATACGAAACTAACAGAAACAAAGCACCTGCTAAAAAAATGAATTACAAAGGGAAAACGTAACTACAAAAGACGAAAACCACGATAATGCCAAAATACTAACACCCAAAAACTATAAAAACGACTTGGAAACTGAAACTGCCCTAGTTAAACATAACTATAGACTTACAACCGAAAAAATAAAAGAACAACTCAGTAAAGAAAAAATCCGAAATACAGTACTTCGAAACCGAGTTGACTAAGACAAACCAAAATTATAAAGGTAGCTTACAAATTTTGCTATTACAAATATTATGTAAAATCCGACCATCATGAATGGTAAAATGCAAATTAGCAATAAGACTCAATATTGTATAATGCCCAGGAAACAAAATTGTTAGAATATGCTAAGTGAGGTTTATCTGATTCTGTTATGTGCAAATGATATGTAGTGAAAAACCAACAAATATATTCATTAAACATTAGAAAGGATTCTGCCTATATATTCATCAACTTTAGTAAGAAGATAAAGGATGTGTCACGGCTACTTAACAGTAAGAAACAATTGTACACAAAAATTAGTAATGTTATGTGCGTTATCAGTATAAGCGTGTATAATTATACAGTGTTTTATTTTTTAATTTAATGTATGTAGGTTTATGTTATCATTGTTATCAACGTATCCTAACATCAGTAAATAATAACTTGTGCTGTACGTGTGTCATCGAATTTTTTAAATGGTATGTCTTAAATGTTATATGTTTTAGAATCGTTATATAATTTTTAAAGAATGTGATAATCTAATGTAAATGTTTCTTCTTATCAGTTGACTGATGAAAGGCTATACGCCCGAAACGTGTAAAAGTGCCCGTATCAACTGAATAAAGTGGATAAACGCCAAGTGTTTTAATAATAACACAGTCTTGTGTTCAATAGTAAATAAATACGAAAACACGGTTTCAAAAGACGAATCAACTACGAGCTTACAAATTGTTATATTTTTCTCGATTTTTTAAATAAAAAATCGTAAATTACTTAAATATAAAACCCAGCTTTCTTCTTTTAAAACACTTAAAAACACATTAAAAACTTATTGCAAAAACTTATAACAAACTTATACGAGTGTTAATGTTTTCTGAAAAGTTTTAAGAAATCGTGTTTTTCTTTCGATCTCTTCTAAAGTTTAAGATAAACATTTAAATTACACAAAAATAAATAAAACAATAACATCACGAAAATTTATTTTATTATATTTTAAAATTTTCATCTTATTTTCCAGAGCAATAATTCCAAACTACTTCTTCAGCATACCACTTAAAAAACGCGATAAATATCAAATCATATAAAAAAAACGATAGTCACGAAAAATCGAATTTTTACTATTCAAACCGTACCATCTCGAAAAGTTAAAGTCACAAACGATATATCTATATGCAAAAAAATTCGTAAAACGATTCTACACTAGAATATGTATAGACATTCTACATATNTAAATGATAACTTTTTGTATATTTAAAATTTTTTATTCTTTCAATAATTTATCTTCTATTTCCAGCATCATAAATTCAATATTTTTTATGACATGATGCCTGTCTTTTTTATTTAAATCCTAAAGTCTGACATTTGGACTTTTATAAAATAAGTCTATTCTGTCTTCTTGTTTAGTTTCAGTAAGGAGTTTGGATGTTTCATTGAAAGTTTTCAATGCAACATCCAACATGTCTTCACTTTTTTTTCGATGTTTTCTGTTTTTTCTT